AGCAGCTTCACATCGTCAGAGGTGAGACTCATGAAGGTGGAGCAGGGACACAGCACATGTCCTAAATATCATTGAATTGCTCGGTGTCACTTTAGCTCATGTGTCCCAGTCATTATTTACACCCAGTCAAGGTAAATCGAGTCATAAGACGAACATTTTTGTCAATGATTTCAGGGAATCGTGTGTGTGTTGTAGTGTAGTGTGCATTTTGGATGTAGCCATCAAGAAACAAACGTACGGTTGCAGAAGTAGACTGGAAGTACTCCACAGGATTTGGAAGTTGGTTCTAAGTTGTCCAGGTCATTTTTCCAAAGCAGTTTAAAGGTAGGGAACTGAAGTGACGTAGTTTCTAGAAGACATTTCACCTCTCATTCAGAGGCTTTTTTCAAATCAAACAATTTTTCCAGCAGTCAGTTAGAACTGAAGACGCTTTTTGGATTAAAGGTGAAGCCTCTTCTCATTTTTCTAAACTGCTTTGGACTTGTTTGTTGACACATAGCCATTGTCTGTATCCCAGTTGTCCGTCACGGTGTATACAATTTCCATGCTTTATCTTTAATTTTACTCCAAATGGGATCAAACTTAAATACATTTGGTATGATGTTGTGCAGAAGAAGGCCTGAAAGTAGGACCATAAATAAATAAATGGAATGATTCTGTTTAATGCTATGACATTACAATGAATAAAACCGTCCAATCCCATCTGTGTAAAAAAGGCAGCATTTAAAACATATAGTAACAGAAGTAGCCTACTCTTTGCACTCTTTTACTTTTACACCGCTAACAATCTCATCCCCTTCTTCTCAGAAGCTCACGACGCCTTGCACCATTTCTCCTGTAAGATGTTGACTCCTCGCCACTGCAGCGCCTCCTGCACCTTCAAATCTCCTCTGCTGCCGCCCTGAACCGGATCACTTCACACGTCCGGCGCTCAGCACAACAAACCTCCAGAAGAACTGTATTTATTTGTATTATTATAAATTGTGTAACTATTCTCCACATTTGCATACAATGACATTTTCCTGAAAGAAAAAAAAGATACAATATTGATATTTATTATTTGTGGCAAAGTGCAATGACGATGTATCTTGTAATAGTTATTCTAGGTTGTTATATCAGTTTTTCGTTTCGATAACAGCAGCTTGTACATAGCCAACCCATTGCTCTTATACTTGTATTATCATGGATTAGCCTACAACTACCTTAAATGTGTTCCTCTCACGGGAAAATGTCTTGGTTGGATTTTCTGTGCACTTTGAATAAGTGACACTTGTTCATTTACAGAGGTTGTGCATCGATTTAGGCCTACAAATTCTTTTCTTTGTAGCTGTCAGATCAGGCATATTCCTTCCTGGAGACTTTAAACACACCACAGAGGTTAACAGGCTAAACTAATACTCCAATCCTGTACGTAAACATGCAATGGATTAAAATTAGCTTATTTGTTCCTGTAATTGTTTCACCACTAATAAAAAAAATTAATAATTTTATCAAATGGAATGTTGTTGGGTTTTTTGTACATAATTATATGGAAGTTTTACTGCTGACAAACAATAAACAGTTCTAAATGCACCCAAATACTGTATTTAACCATAATGTAAATATTTACAATAATATATAATTTAATGTAACAGTGTTATATTTATTAGATGCCTATGTCCCGATCTAGACATCTTGGTGATGCCTCAATATGTAAACAGCATTTACACTCAGTCAAAGCCTAATCTAAAATGTCTAACAAAGATTTTTTTTTCTCTGAAATAAAGCAGTATAAGCAGGTAAAATACAAAGCTAGATGATTTCTAGATTTACAGTTAGCTACTGCACTACGCTCTAAGGTGCTAAATAAAGGCCGAAGAAGTAGAGATGTTCCTTGGTCAATATAGAGTATTCTTCAACAGAACTTCACTTTTTAATCGTTTCGGTGTTTTGCCACCATTTATTTTAGTTTTTATTGCTAACTGCTATTCTAAATCTTCTTGATAAATTACTTTAATAACATGGCTTCCTAGAAAAAAAAACCTCAAGCATATTTTAGAAACATTTGCTGCTAGTGTTTTAACAACACTATTATAATTACATTTATATTTTTAAGCAACAGGCAAGAGGGTGGTGTCCTACTATTTCTCTTGTAACTTTGGGTAATTATTGATAAGGTAATGATTAAATGAGTAAAGAATATATTCCTAAAGTAATTATGGGAGGAGAAAAAAACTGAAACTGATTAAATTATAAAGTTGCTGGTGAAACACATGTTGAGATATAAGGCAGGGATTATAGATGATGTTTTGTTAGATCACTTTTTTTTATCAGATCACTGTACAAAATGAATATTGTTATTCACTTAAATATTTTCATTCTTCATCCATATTGAATACGTTTTTAAAAGCTTAACTAATTACTTGTGTAGTCGACCAGTAAATACCTTATCAAGACCACATTTGATGTTCTAATGTACCAAAAAGCAGAGACACCTAATATTTCCTCTGAAATGTTTACTTTTATTATAGTGATTGTGTGTGCATTCCTTTTAATGCCTTGTTTTGTTGTCTATATGCTGCAACAGCGACCCCCTGTGCCTGTTACGAGGAAATGACGGACAAGTTTGAATCTGTCCCCTGAGGCTTGCTTTTGCGCGTGCGCAGCCAGTGCAACAAGATGGCGGAGAGTGCGGAACTGAAGGTAAAGCTAGCTTCAACTATAGCTTCACGAATAGATGTTTCACGCAGCCGCAATTTATTTTCACAGCATATTTAGGTGTCATATACCAACAGACACCTAAATATTATTGATGTCGATGCAAATATAAATAAAAAGACAAAGCAGACCACAGTAGACAGGATATTAGCCGAGCGGCTAGCTCGTTAGCTTTAGCTTTGTTATTGTTGCCGATGTTCCTGCTGGGCGGCTCAGCTGCAGAAAATGCCATATATTGCTTTCAACAAACGAGCCACAAGCATAACTGTGTCTGGGTTTTCAACTTAACAATAATTTAGTCTTATACGGCCGACAGAATAGTTGCTTTACTGGACAAATCGCAGTGTTCGATATAAAATGGGCTCTGTCTATTCCCTGGAAGACAATCTCCATGTAGCTTCATTCAGTGCTAGTGTCATCTGTGATCAGATAAAAGCTTGAACCGTTTTTATGTTGTTACTGTCATTACTATGGCGTCTTTCTTTTTATTGCCCTGGGTTGAATACATAGTCTTAACAAATTCATGTATGTGTTTATGTGAGATGACAGCATTATTCTTTAGGGGGTGTTAGCAGAGCTGTAATGTCTCTTACTTCAGTATGTTGGTGGTATCAATATCCAGCAGACAAAAAATATGTATGTAATATACGCACTATAGTCGTCGTTTGGCTGCATCTCTTTCAGAGATAATCTGACACAACATCACAACAGTCACAGGTTGTTAATAAAAATGAAAAGTGCCATGCAGAAATTGCATAACAATAGAGTAAAAGTTCGTATATAAGTTTTTGTTCATTCATGGCATCAAATGTGTTTGTTTTTATCATGGCGTACATATAAATACTATTATTCACCAGAAGATTCTTTGGGTTACCGTAGTCAACAAAGGCTTAAAGTAGTGTCTAATGTAAGTGTAGTACATAATGTTGGTTGTTATTTTTTTTTTGAAGTGAAATTCCATTTGACTTTGTTTTTTAATACTTCAGAACAAAATACATTGTTATCACTGTGAAAAGAAATAGCTTTGACATCTATGAGTGGCTGGACAAAGAAGTTGTCCATAGTTGTAGTTAGAGACACATTAGCTTCTACTGCACTGAAAGTAGAAAGAAAAGGCATTGCTCATGTGGAAATCTTATCATTTATATTAAAAATGTGAACTTGTTTCATATTAACAATCTATATTTATTACCTTTGATTCATGTTTTTAACCAAGAGGTTAATCAAACTTTTGTTATTTTTTATTTTTACGTTTCAAACAGCAAATGGTAATGAGTCTTCGAGTTTCGGAGCTCCAGGTGTTGTTGGGATATGCAGGGCGAAATAAGCATGGACGCAAACATGAACTTTTGACCAAAGCTCTTCATCTACTCAAGGCTGGCTGCAGTCCTGCAGTGCAGATGAAAATAAAAGAGCTGTACAGACGGCGTTTCCCAACTAAAATGGTTTCACCAGTGGACTTGGCTTTGCCTGGGGTTCATGCTGCCTCTAGCCTGCCTGCAGGCCTCGCCCAGCTGGGTTTTGATGCCCATGGTTCTCCATCGCCTCTCCTACCTGTCTCTTTGCTTGGGCCTAAACATGAGCTGGGCCTGCCTCATCTCCCCTCAGCCCTGCATCCAGTACACCCTGATGTCAAACTCCAGAGACTGCCATTCTATGACGTGCTTGACGAGCTCATCAAGCCAACCAGCCTAGGTAAATGTTTAGCTTCTATGTACTCTGCTTTCAGTGCAGCATGTTTTTTCTTTAACAGCCACACATGCACTCCTGTGGACATTGGCGTTGCAGAAGTCAACTGAGCGTGCTCCTGTAGTTGAATAAGGGGTTTGTGTATAATTCCATGTAAGATGAGTTAATTATTACTGTCTTCTTCTGACTCATATTATATTAGGACAATCACAGCAGAAGTTGTGTCATTTTATATGGATTTATTCCCAAACATTGTTTGTGCTTGCAGTGAAACACCTGCAAATTGCTCCTCACCCTCTACAGACATATCTTCGTTGAATTCTTATCTAATTTTTTCAGGTTGAACATTTGTCCACATATATCTGGTTTATGACTTTAAAACCATAAACGTTTACATGATGACTCGCAAAAAAGTTCTCCATAACAATGCACCGACTTAAAGTTATCTTCCTTTTCTGACTTTACAGCCTCAGACAACAGTCAGCGGTTCCAGGAGTCATGTTATGCCTTTGCGTTAACGCCACAGCAAGTTCAGCAGATAAGCAGCTCCATGTAAGTGTGAACGTTTCACACTATATTTAGCTTCAGGTGATATAAGATAAGATAAAGTGAAAAATACATAAATCGTATTACAAGGTCGAACAGTGAAGGCAGCAGAATGTGTAAATTTGACTTTTTATTGCTTTGGAACTTTGGAAGTGTTTGTGATCTGTCTAAAAAAAAATATATATATATATTTTATTTTTAGGGACATCTCCGGGACCAAGTGTGATTTTGCAGTTCAAGTACAGTTAAGGTATGTCTAATTAAAATACACATCCGTTTCTGATTATTGGGATTGTGCAGGGTTTGTTCACTAAAGAAAATCCTGCTTTTGTTCTGTAATGTAGGGTTTTTCTTAAAGTGACCTCTGTAGGTTCTGATGTCAAGCCCTGGGGTTACAGCAGGAAGAAAACAATACATTAATAGTGTTACAGTGGTTGAAGCTGTTAGCTCTGGGTCTCCTTCAACTGGAAAAGCAAGTTAAAGATTGCTTGAGCGCTTGTAAAACAATGATGGACAGAAACTTTGAGTCACTGAAGAAACACTGACCGTCGGTCAGTTCATGTCACTAATAAATAATCAATGTAATTTCAGCTCTACATGTTAGAAATGGTCTCTTCTACTTCTTCGTGCCCCATTCTTGCACAATCAATATAGTACTAATTGTTAAAAAATATGTTTTGCCACAAATACCAAGTGTTGCTTTTTATAAGCTGGCAGTTGGAATCACAATCACAGATAAGATTCAAGCAGACGAGAGAGAAGATTGTGTGTCCACCTCTTATCTTCACACTGCAGCTGATTGCTGCCAAAGCTAAAAGAAATTTTAATCAGGGAATTAGTACATATTAAAAAGATCCATAAAAAGACTGACCACAGGTGTGGTATTGTTATTGTGTTCTTTTTAAATTCTTCTCATTCACTGTGATTTTTTTTGTGTGTTAATGTTTTGAGGGTAGCTAGCTCCGAGTATAATTTTTAAAGGTGTTTAACATTTGCTGTCAGACCAAGCTAACATGTCAACCTTTTTTTAATTTTCCAACAGAAGTTAATTTATGTGACACTTTATTTAACAATGTAAACAAAATCAATAATGTGAATAATTTTCTGTCATTGTCAGATTTTGTTTATCAGAGACCAGCTGTCCGCAGGAGGATCATTTCCCCCCTAATCTGTGTGTAAAAGTGAATGGAAAACCCTGTAATCTTCCAGTGAGTTCAGCCTTGCCTTGTTTATCTTGTTATTTTCACTCAGCATCTTTATAACGTACGGACAATTACTAATCTTCAATGTTTTTGTCTTCAGGGATACCTTCCTCCTACCAAAAATGGAGTTGAACCAAAAAGGCCCAGTCGTCCCATTAACATTACTTCTCTGGTTCGACTTTCAACCACAGTTCCTAACACAATTGTAGTGTCATGGACTTCAGAAATCGGCCGGGTAAGACAGTGCTTCGGAACACGGACTGTCAGCTCAAAATCCTTTATTGTGAACATTGGTCATTTTTCTGACTCATTGTTTTTATTTTTTTGTATTTCCAGAGCTTTTCCATGGCAGTTTATCTGGTAAAACAGCAGTCTTCTGCAGTTTTATTGCAAAGACTACGAGCCAAAGGAATTAGGAACCCTGACCATTCGAGAGCTCTAAGTAAGTCATTGCTTGATTTGTCAGAATTGAAACAAAATTTTAAATCAATCGATCAAATTCTCAACCAGTAGAAAAGAAATATATGTGTCATGTATGTGACCTCAGTAATCATTTGACACCAAAATGCTTTTTGGCAGTTGTCATAAAATAATATGACAATGTGCTAAAATACACCAACACTATAAGATAAGATTTTGAGTTTTAGTTTTTAATTTTCTACACATTTTTTCCATAGAGATAATTTTTTATTTTGAGTTTTAGTTTTTAATTTTCTAGACATTTTTTCCATAGAGATAATTTTTTGATGTCTCCTTGCTGTTTTTTATAGTAAAGGAGAAGCTGACAGCTGATCCAGAGAGTGAGATCGCCACCACCAGTCTACGAGTGTCTCTCCTTTGTCCTGTATGGACTATTTTCCTTGATTTATTTATTTTTTAGGATAATTGTATTTATATTTGTTTTTATATGTACTGACATCTATTTGGCTTCATTTTATTTGCTTTTTTAAAGCTGGGGAAAATGAGGCTGACGATCCCCTGCAGATCGATAACGTGTTCACACCTCCAGTGCTTTGATGCTACACTTTATATCCAAATGAATGAGAAGAAACCGACCTGGGTCTGTCCAGTCTGTGACAAGAAGGCGCCATATGAACACCTCATTATTGATGGGTGAGCAAAAGATTATTTGGAATAAAATTATTTTGCAATATTGCAATAGACCAAATATTTTATTCAAGTCATACACATAATTCTTTATCAAATAATAGGAAATAATAACCTTAACAACAGTAAACAAATATTTCTGATATAAGGAAATACTTAATGGTTAGACTATCACTCTTTCACAAATGCTTCCTGAAGCTGTATTAGAAGAGGAAATGTTCTGTGATGGACCCATTAAGGAAATGTGTATTTTCATTATTAAAATATTGTCATACCAACACATCCCAACACAGGAAGAAAAAACTGTTAGTGTAGTAGAATTTTCTTTTCCTGCTGTTTAAAAACTTTGTTAATCATTTATTAAGATAAAACAACTGGCTACTGTATTAAGTATTTCAACTTGAAAACACCAATGTTACAACTACAGCTCTACCAACAACATGTTTGTAACTGAGCTGGGAAAGTTGGATGTTTACTTGTAAGCTGATCATGTGCTTTGCTATTTTCATAGATTGTTTATGGAGATCTTAAATAGCTGCTCAGACTGTGATGAAATCCAGTTCAAAGAAGATGGAAGCTGGGCCCCAATGAGGTCAAAGAAAGAGGTGCAGGAGGTATCAGCATCATACAATGGTATAGCCAGGGGTATGTAGCACACATTTCACACATGTTGATGTCGCTCCCTGTTCTTAATTCTGGGCAGAGTGTAACTCAGACATTTATCTCCAGATTTGTCTCAAACTGACGCTCATGAGCAAAAACGAGGCTCATCCAATGACGGCAGCAAGAAAATTGATGTGATTGACCTGACACTGGACAGCTCCTCAGAGGATGAACCGGAGGATGAGCCACCACCCAAAAGGGCCTGTCCTCCGCTATCACCTGTCTCTCCACCTGCAAACAAGGGGTGAGTCTGTACGCTTCATGAAGGAAGACATTTTGCTCTTGACTCCCTTCTTGACACCTTCTTTATTTATTTACAGAGTACTGAACCTACACAGTCAGTCTTCTCCTGTGACAAGAGCTCCCAGCATGCCCCCTGTGGAGACAAGCTACATTCCTCCTCCTCCACCGCTTATCCAGGACTACCGCCACTATTACCACACAACTAGTGACCTGCCAGGTAGGTTTTACTTAATATAATTGCATATTCTAGTTTAAGTGCTTGGTAGTCTTTCCATAGAAGAATAAAACTAAAACTTGAAGATTGGAATGGCTTTGGGTACTTCATGAATTTAGAAATGGATGTCGTCAACATATGATGAATGTTTTAAGAACACAGCAATGAATGAAGTCATATTAATACATTTGTTTGAGATTCCTTTTTAGCAGGTTGTCTGTTAACAGTACATGTACAGATCGGGTAGAAAAAGAGCATCTACCAGAAGAAGACCTTTTAGCACCTCAAATTATTGATGCAAAATATATGTGAAAAGGTGTCCTAATGAATGAAAGTATTGGGTTGTAAGGCAGTGAGTTAAAATAGTATTTAGTCTTAGTCTTAATGGCATTCCTTTCGAATGTGCACCAATACTACTTTTTAAAAATCTTTCTCTTGTTTTTGTCACAGAGGCAAAGCATGGAATGTTATAGAACTCTTAAGTTAAAAAATGTCAAATATATGAAATTGTATCACTGAAATTTTTGCATCTTCTTTCAGATCTCAATTTCTTCTCCTTTCTACAAGGCGATGCCCAGGTATGTATAATATTTCTGCACAGGCTACATATGAGAAGATCACCTTTGTTGTTAGGAATCCTCTGTTTCTTCTTTTATTCTATAAAATCGGAATCCTCTGTTTCTTCTTTTATTCTAAAAAAAATGTGTAAATTGATAGAAAATACTGATGAACTAATATTTTTTGAAAATTCTAGCTTAACAACTGATGAACTAATATTTTTTGAAAATATATATTATTTGAAATATTTGAAAAAAGCATTTTTAACGATTTTTTGTACAGGACTAATTCTCATCCTCAAACAGTGTGATAATAATAATAATAATAATTCTGGTTAATAAATCCTTTATTAACGGCTAAAGTTAACATCCCAGAGTTGAGAGCCATATAACAGTTTAAATTGAAAACATTTGCAGCTTATCTGCCTCACAGGTTCTGTTGTGTTTCTCCTACTAACATAAACACCAATGCAACTTGACAGTTTTGAATTTTTGTTTTTAAACATGAATTTTACTCTGTTTTCTAGCATTACAACATGGTGATGGCTGCCGCAGCAACTGCCTCAGCGTCTGAGGACCATGAGCTCCTCCTCAACCGTTTCCTGCCCTACAGCTCTTCACAGATGTTGCGGGAGCAGCCGGGCACCCCCGGCAGCAGCACACTGGCAGCTGCCAATGGAGGCAGCAACAGCGGTAGCACAAGCAGTTTGGTTTCTTCCAGCAGTCTCCGTGACCGGGAAAAAGAGCGAGAGCGGGACAGAGATAGGGACAGCCACGTCATCTCAGGTCTGTCGAGGTCATCGATGGAGGCCGCAGCGGCGGCGGCAGCCATTTATGGCTCCATATCTGACGTTATCTCTCTGGACTAGAGCCACACAAAACTGAAAGACACGGCGGACCTAAAGGAGAGGAGTTCATTGTAAATACAGAAGAGGAAGACAAAAGAATACAGTCCTATGTACAGAGAGGAAAATCTATTTTCAATTTTACTTATCATATGTATATAAACTTAGGACGCTTCTTGTCCAGTGAGTTACTTCAGTTGATATTTTTGTGTGAATACTGAAGACTTTTTCACACCTCTTCATGTGGTCCTTTGATTATATTGTATCTTTTGTACCTGGTTTTTACAGTTTTGTTTCAATATTCCATGTCAATGGCATTATTTCAGTATGTTACATGCACAGAACCCAGTAAGGTAACACTTTATGGGTTGTCATATTGGAATAAAAAGAAGAAAGGGCATTTTAAAATAGAAGAGGCAATTCACAGCGAAACAAGAGCTTTTCTGTCAAAAAAGAAAAATTGACAGCAGAAAGATCTGTTCATTTATGCCATCACTGTAGATTTTTTTATGTTAGACATTCATGCTGTGGTCATAATATTTTTAAGAAATTATTTATAATATAAGTTATGTTGGATGTATGCTGTTATAAAGAAGCATTCCTTATGCCTCAAAACTGTTGCCACTAGAATAGCGAGAGCAGATGCTACATCCTTCTGTTGTCATATGTCTTTAATCTTTTCCTCATGTCTGGAACTCAGGTCAGACATGTGAGTTTTATTAATAGAGTCGAGACTCTACCTAACAAACACACACATATTTTGGGAGCATGTTGGCATTGTACGACCGGGCTTATTACCGTGTGAAAGAATGAATGACGAATCGAGTAAGCAGCCTTCTCTGGTCATGTGACACAATTGGAACATTTATCACATCTGAGAATTGCAGTATTGTGTATTTGTTTTAAAGTACGACTGTTTATCATTTATTTCTATAACACACAGGAAACTACAGTGCAGTGGCTCGTGAACATTTAACACATTTGTGATTTACTTTTAATTTTTTTTTTTTTTTAGACGAGGCCTTTTTCTAGGTCTGTTTGAAGTATTTATTTAACTGAAAGGCTTAATAAGTGTTGATTGCAAGTGGGTGAATGACATTTCTTTTTTTTTCTTTTATGATTGAAGCACTTGCATTCTCATCATTAGGACGTGTGGTGGTGTGAAGCATTCACAGCAAACACGTGAGTAGTTTTTAACTTTGCATGTCAGCAAGTTACCCTGAGAGCTCACCTCTTGTGTCCACAGGATGCTTAGGCCCAATTATTGTTGTTAAATGTATTTGCAGCAGCCTTTAAGATTAACTGTGATCGCTTAGTCTTTGGGTATAGCACAACAGTTGTTTTGGCCTGGAAGTTTTAAAATTATTAAGTTGATCATATACACATCTCCACCCTTTATTTTTCTGTACCTGTGCTTACAGTTAGACTTATTTATTATCATATATTTCCAGCATTTGTTTGATTTGTGGCTAATGCATTGCTGTCATTGTATGTGATATTTCTTTTGTAATTATATAATTAATGCTATTTAAAAAAATGTCATTGTTGCTTGACATACAATGTAACATTTTTTGTTTGTTTTATTATCAGATGATGTCAATAACTCATTAGAGGCTTTGGTCATTTTGAAACGCTACAAGGTCTACTGTGCTGTTTGATATTTGTACGAATTAAACCCATTTAGAAAGTGCATCACTGAAGTCGTTATGCTCAGGCACTGATTGACAATGACCTGTTACATTGTTTCTGGTCCTGAGTAAAGTCCTACAAAACCATACCTAAGACATAAAACGTGAAATAATCAGGTATTGGTTTTTTTATTAGTCACGCATGCGCATAAATGGCTTAATATTTACCATGACAGATAAATTAACTAAAAGTTATATGGACCCATGTTTTTTGACCATTTGCACTTAAAGCATCTTGCAAAGGCTTAATCTTAGTCAGTTTTGACTGGAAGGTGGTCTGAAATCGCTGAGCCAAAGTCTGCCCAAGGTTGTCAAAATATAGTTTACTTGTTTAATTCACTGTCTGTTGTAGTTTGATAACTTACTACATTGTTTTGACATCTCCTTAAATAATCCATCACTCCACCACACAGGAGTCGACATAAAACAGACCCAAAAAGCATCTCGTACGGCATAAAAACAAATAACTATAAGGCGTAAGTCTTTATGCAGTTTTATGTAATTTTTTCATGCTCATCTCTTTTAAATGTAAAATTGTAAAATCTAGTCACTTCCTGGGAAATTTTGATATACCATATTATTTCCCTGAATGGATTAAAAAATGTTCTCATTTTAAATATACAACTAATCAATGGTGATCCAACGTAGTGGCCTATATATAGAAGCTCAGTCAAAGGCAATAAAACCCACAATTGTGGTAAGTCAACATTTGTATAAATATCACTATAATTTGGATTAAAACGATAAAAAACATTGCACCTCTATCAATACAATATTTATGTTTTATTTTCACCCAAGATTTCGCAACAAGGTCAAATCTGATGTCATACGGTTGTTTAATCTCGATGTGGCCAACTAACCGGTCGCAGGTTTATTACGTCACCGCGCTGGCGATGACGTTTTCAGAGAGCGGCACCGTTTCAGACTGGAATGGAAGCTGGCGATTTTCCCCATATTTTGATAGTTTAATCCGTGAATGGCGCCTAAACAGGACCCGAAGCCTAAATTTCAAGAAGGTAACGACTCACCTGTGTTCTCTCCTGTCAGATCCGCGCTGTCTATCACAGTTGCAGGCCACGGAAATGTCCACAAGCTAACCATCGTAACAGGCAGTCGCCGCCATTGAGCAGCTAGCGGTTTCAGCGTTCATTGTTGTCACCAAAACAGCAAACGCGTCCTATGTTTGTTTAATTGCCACCCTAGTGCATCGGTAGACGGTTCCCTTTACTAAAGTTTGAAAGTGGCAGTGGTTTCGTCTGTGCTTTAGAATTTGGCGGCGGTTGCAGCTTCATTCATTTGCATCCTTTGTGTTTTGTGAGGGAAGGCTATATATTCTGATAATTCCCAGGATTATACGATGTAGGTAAGTTTCTTTGCTTTTAGGACTTCACAATAATGTACTGGAGATCTACGACCGAGTCGACAAAGCTAAAAAATAAAAAAAGCAACGCTAATGCAAATACGAATTTGTTCCCTTTCCATTGTTTCCATGGACAGGTCTTAAATGAAGCTACTATTCGTTACCCCCACAGAATCTTCATAAAGTGACATATTTTCCACATTTTTCTTGAAATGTTTTTTCTTTATAAATTTCTTTTTTAAACACTCTGCTCATAATCTCTAGTCTTTACCTTATTGCATTACTACAAATGCAGTAGTAGTATCAAATACTGTGTATTTTGTTAGTGTGTTTCCTCCCTTATAGTACAGACGATGAAGCCCCAGATTTTATTGGTTCACGAAAACCTATCATGCTCAATTTGGTAACAACACCGTTGTGAGAGTGCATTACTGCCACAGTTTATAGTTGCTTTGACAAATAATTAAAAAAGACAACCGACTGTCATATAACAGCTTATTAAATGTGAGTAACCTGCAGTGTTTTAGCTCTGCTGTAGTAATAATCCCATGTGGACAATACCCAAATACTCTTCTGCTGTAGTAATAATCCCATGTGGACAAACCCAAATACTTTAAGAATCTTGTCTCAGAAGCACTGAAGCAAGAAAATCATTAGACTAGACTAGAAGTCGACGTTTAATCATTAGACTAGACTAGAAGTCGACGCTTTAGTTTTAAAATGTTTTTTTTTGTGTGTGTTTTTAAGTTCCCATCCCCTGCTCTTTATTCTGTTCTCTTATTCTTTGTTTTGATACTTTTGACCTGTTCATATCATGATTTATATAATGTCCTTTTTACTCCCATCACTGTCCAGGTGAAAGAGTGCTGTGTTTTCATGGGCCATTGCTTTACGAAGCAAAGGTAAGAGAACAGTTTTCTGTTTGTCAAAAACCTGAGTTTTTGATATATATTTTTTTAAACTATTAATACTGTCTTTCTCTTTCACTGCAGTGTGTAAAAATAAACATCAAGGATAAACAAATAAAATACTTTATTCATTACAGTGGGTGGAATAAGAAGTAAGTAGTTTGGTCAGATGATCCAAACTGTCAATATTTGTACTCTAGAGATTTCTGGAGGTCTTGACTTTTGGCTGTTTTCTTCTGCAGCTGGGACGAATGGGTTCCTGAAAGCAGAGTCCTAAAGTATGTGGACAGCAACCTGCAAAAACAAAAAGAGCTTCAGAGGGCAAATCAGTAAGTGAACTGACCGGCATTGAACTGAACAAAGAGTTCGATATAAATAAGTTTGTTTCTGCAAAATAAAATAAAAATCCAAATTAAGTTTTTGTTTGATTTCAGAGACCATTATGTAGAAGGAAGAATGAGGGGAGCTGCACCGAATAAGAAGATTCCTCCGCCGCCGCAGAAAAATGATGTGTAAGCTTCCTTTTCTAATTGATGTGTGTTGTAATTTCCTCTGCTGTAATTTTGTCTATATTACCCAAGATGAGGCAGTGGTGCAAATCTCATTTATTATCTTCAATATTTAAAATGTTGTTATCTTTATATTTAAAAAAATTACAACTGTAAATCTCTTTTTGCTTTCAGGAAAAACAAGAAGAACAAACAGAAGAGTAAGTATTTATCAAGGTGCTGTAATTTTATAGAAGCTAGTTTTACAAATACAACAAACAAATATCCTCTAAATATTTATCCTCTAAATATGACACTCACATAAAAAATAATCATTCTGTAATCTAAAAATGTCATAATTGTTTATAGGAATAATAATATGTATTGACATTCTATCACCTGCCACGTGTCTGCAGCTCCTGGACCAGGAGAAGGAACAAGTTCAGGGGGAGACCTGACACATCCTCCACGGAAGAAGAGAGCACGTGTCGACCCAACAGTCGAAAGTGTGAGTACGAGTGTTGGTCTAAAACGTGACGTGAGGGTAAAATGATCTGAGGTCTGATCTGTTCTGACTCTTCCCAGGAGGAGACCTTCATCAATCGAGTGGAGGTGAAAGTAAAAATCCCAGAAGAGCTGAAACCTTGGCTCGTAGACGACTGGGACCTGATCACGCGTCAAAAACAGGTCAGTCCTCATCAACGATTACAGTAAAAGTTTGATCATTTCTGTGGTAAATCACTCACGTTGTGTGTTCGATTTCTGCAGCTTTTCCACCTGCCTGCCAAAAAGAATGTTGACGCAGTTCTTGAAGATTATGCAAACTACAAGAAATCAAGAGGAAACTCCGACAGCAAGTAAACACTTATGTTGTTATACAAACAGACTGTTTTGTATGATTTGTGTGCCATACAGATCCAATACATTTTATTTTGTATCAACCAGAGAGTTTGCAGTAAACGAAGTTGTGGCTGGTATCCGCGAGTACTTCAACGTGATGCTGGGGACACAGCTGCTTTACAAATTTGAGCGGCCGCAGTACGCAGACATCCTGGCCAACCACCCAGATACGTCCATGTCACAGATCTACGGAGCTCCTCATCTACTCAGACTCTTTGGTACAAAAACTGCACATCACACTTTTCTGTTGAGGATTATAACAGTCACGTGTTGATGATTTCATTCTCATTTAAATGAGTTCCATACATTAAAGCTGACCTACTGTGCCATAGTCAGGGACGTGGGCCATATATTTGCAAGTGCCCACTCCTTAAGCCAGTGACTTCCAACCACTGTGTCGATTGTGCATGCGCCTAACAGAATTTGTTGCTTCATCTCACTGCTCAACCGTTGCCATGACTACGCAAAAAGGTTGGCAGAGAAGGCAGCGGTTCATTATTATTTAAGAAATAAAAGGCAGAGAAACCAACCGCTCAGAGATGAAATACACCAAGGAAGTATTTATCTTTTACACATAAAAACGTGTGCTGTGTAACCGTGGTCAGGAGCACGTTGACAAATGAAACTTGGATGGAGTGTCTTGTTGGATTCTGGGCTTGTATAAAAATCCCCTCCACACTTATCTCTGACAGAACCTCAATCCAGCTAATTAGAGAACATGGTGATTATCACTCAGTGAATGTCTCATCCTTGGTGGAGGTTCACAGCCCTGCAGTGCTGGCTGCAGGCTTCAGTTCATAAATCCTACTGAAGTTTTGGTTAGATATGCGGATGAGTCGAAACCACATCCGTGTCATACTGTTCCGACTCACACTGTGGTTACAATAGTGTTCTGCAGTGTCACTGGAAGGGCGGTTCTAATATCTGTCTCCTTTTGTCTCTTAATCTTAATTACACAAATTTAAACGTTGACATGTTTTAGCTGACTCTGCCTCATTCCCTTGGGTTGTTTTTTTTTTTTTTTTTTAGTTTAAGTTTGGAGTCATGGCAGTGTTTTTGAACCCTTTAACCTCTGTTAAAAATCGATTCCATTCTATACCACGAGAGGGAGACAAAGAACGAACTATTTTCAGCAACAGATCATTCTGCCATCACCATAAGTAAATGGTGTTTTGTTTGTTTGTTTTCTTCTTCTTGGTTTTCACTCTTCTGTTGAACCAGATTAAATGTGACATAATCCCCGTTTTTGCTTCAATTTAAAAGTGAGAATCGGAGCCATGTTGGCTTACACTCCGCTGGATGAGAAAAGCCTGGCCCTCCTGCTCAGTTATCTACAAGACTTCCTCAAGTAAGTGTTCACATTCTGTCAGTAGCCACACCTGAAGTATAGGCATATACTTATAAGTAAGTAATATAAGTAAAATCTGCAACTTAATTATCTGCACCTAAAGTATCCACACCTGACGTGAGAGTAATGTTTCTCCTCCTGCAGGTATCTTGTCAAGAACTCTGCGTCGTTATTTAATGCGAGCGACTACGAAGTTGCCCCGCCTGAATATCACCGCAAGGCAGTTTAAGGTTTTGTATAAAAGGACGCTGAGACATTGGGAGACAAAATTCTCGCCTGTGGAGAGGATGAGTTGAAAACCAGATGGAACGTGGATTGTGTGAGATCTGTCATTTTATTAAGAAAGGATCAGAGTAAGATGTCGCACTAATCCCTGGACAAATTTAATTTCCTTTCATGTGGAAAGCTGCTGAGTATACTCCTTCTCTGCTGGTATGTTTTTCAGTACCGCATTTTAGTTTCTATGACACATTTGGGTTGTTTGTTTTTTTTCTCGTTATTTTCCAAGGTTTCTTTCGTTTGTGTCCTGGCAGATGGTGATGACACTGTCTCGTTGGCTCTCATCATTTTCTAATAAAAGCCCTTTACTCTGGAGGTCGTCTGTCTTTAAAGAATAGGATCATTTTCTAATATGGCCATGGTTCTTCAAGTCTGTTTGCTAACTGTGATCCATGTGATGAAGTGAATAACATGAGCAGCCATGAAGCCAGAGTCCAGTTCATTCAGTCTGATGGATTATTTTTTTCCTGAATTTTTCCATAACAATCCCTATGATTTTTTTTTTAATTCAGAAGCAACTTTGTGTAAGATGTGGTTTCTTAGCTTGCCTCACACCATTTGTGTAAGATGTGGTTTCTTAGCTTGTCTCACACCAATGTTTTGTTTCTTCTTTTGTTTTTTTGTTTTTTGCAGTGCCCTAGTTAAAACTTGAAACTAAAATCAGTGAACGTGATTTAGGTTTTGGTGTTTCACCCTCCGCACGTGACCTTTAACACGGACTGGTGAACTGTATGTGATTCAACCCCGCCCCCACACCTTGACTTCTCTGATTCCAGGTCTTCTGTTAGAAATAAAAAAAATAAGTCGTAGAACAGTGATTGTCAACTGGTGGCCCGCGGACCAAATCCAGCTCGCCAAACTGTCCAGTCTGGCCCTCGACTGGATTCCAAAATAAATGTCAAATAATAATGTTACACAAAAAATGACTTTTATTTCATTTGTCCTGAAAAGATCTGGCCCTCCCATATACAGTTAGTGACCCCTGCTGTAAAAGATGAATAAATGAAACAAGTGAAGAACGTCTTTGGACCTCAGCTCGGCGGTGTCCTCCCAGCTGTTATCCTGGGTTTCACTTGATCAGTGTTTCCTAAGTTGGACGTTTGAGTTGTGCCGTACTGCGAACCGTCGGGCTGTTTCACGTCAGCTAATTGTGGTTTATTGACTACAGCCAAGATCCAATCCTTTGAAAATGTGAACAATAATTTATGTCTTACTAAGTATAGAACGGACATGTGGTATTCATTCAAATACTCTCTGTTCTGTGCTGTAGTTCTGCCTCAGAGCTTTTATTACTCCACTTACAATCATTTCAAGCAAATTGGTGAATGCGATCAGTCTCGGGGGGTTCGGAGACACCTGAGAGCATTTTCTTCTGCTGTTGGCTGAAATGGTTTCCCTGCTCTGACGGTCTGGACCCGGCTCCAGTGCTGGAATAACATCGTGCTGATGGAAAGCATGTGCTGCGGTGTTTTGTTTGAGGAAAGAAACATAATAGGCTATTAAAAGTCGGCCAGAGCACCTTCCCTCTCTCACCTCCGCGCGCAGAAATGTGTTCATGCAGAATTGCCTCCAGCTGGTGTGTTCTCCACTGTTGTGGCTCACTTGACATGAAAAAGAGAAGCTAAATATTAGTCTCAGACTGATTTGTGGTCTCATCGGTGTCAGCTGCTCACAGTTGTTATGGCAGGAACCAACCAGACCGCTTCAAGAAGAATTTCTTTAATCCGCTGTCCCTCAGCCTTCATCAGGACCAGATGTGTTTTCACTGAGGTGTGCTCTCAGATCACCGCGCCCTGGTAGCGTTTAACAGCCCATCAGAAAGACTGACACACACGGGACCTCTGCAGATCCTTTCAGGGAGGAACCTCCGAGACCTTCGCATGGCTCCGTTTACAGCTTTGATTAACACTTTAGTCCCAGCGTCTGAGGTCAGGTCATGCAGAGGCCCTCCTCTGGTGCGACTGCTTTGATTCGACACCAGTGACGGAGGGCAGCCATGCTGTTGTAACTCATCTCTCTCATAATGGATGATAGAGAAGAACATGTGTTTGATACGGCCCCCGACCATTGAGACTAATATAAGTCTGAGTGATGGTTTCAGCAGGTTTTACTTTTTTATGTTTTCATTTGCCAAAGACTCGTTTCACACAGATCTGCAGGCACAGACTACAGAAGCCCCCCCCCCCCTCACTTTATTGCTCTGAGAATAATCACAGGTTTTGGTGGGATCATTAGATCATCACTTTTTGGTTCTGTATTTAAGAGTGATTCTTCAATTAGTTTTCCGTGTTTATGCTGCTTTTCAGGTTTATTGTACTAGACTTTGGAATGTTGGTTTTGGATATTATGCCAATTATTCACGAACTCCACGAGGAAAGGTTGCAACAGGTAAAAGTTAGCAACATCTGGTGGTTAAATCGTATGTTTCCTGCTAAGTGGATAGATGAAGATAGAAACGGTGACATTTTATTAGAAAGCCAGGTGAGGCAGAAAACTACATGAGAGTGGTGCAGGGTGTGTATGAAGAGAACAGTAGAGTGCTGCATGGTTGGACTGACTGAAAATGTAAGGATGAGCTAAATGTAATTATGACTTGTGTAGCAATGTATTTATTACAACATTCTTTTCCTGTTGTTTTTATTTACATCTCTACAATCCTGGGTGGAGCAGTTTGACTTGGTAAAATTCCTTTTCCTTTCCTTTTTTACCCACAATAATGCATTAAAAAATACACAAAATAAGTCACAGAAAACAAACCACAAGACATTATTTAGAGGTTTTGAATGTGCAAAAATAGCTAGTAACAGATTTAATTTTGCGATTCTTTAGATTAAAATGACAATGACGCTATGGACCAAAGTGGAGATGGTGTATTATGTGTTCTAGATACAATGTTTATCCTAAAGGCGAGGTGGCATATAAAACGTTTTCTATTCAATGCATTTCTATTATTTTTCCGTCGTTCTGAGATAGAGCCAGGAGGTGGCAGGATTGCACCGACAATGAAGCCCAGCAGGATGATTTAAATACAGCATAAGATTTAAATGTTTGTTTGCTGTCCTAGGTTTGTCCCTGATGTAGAGTGTGGGGAAGGTGAAAGTCAACGCCGAGAAGACGAGGCCAATGTTAAGACTGCCATTCAATCCTCCTCTGTGTTGTCTTCAGCCCGAACCACAGACAAACTCCTGACTGCCGAGGCTAAGGCTGCGTATTAGAAAACAAATATAATCAGTGTGAGTGACTGATGAAAGCCATCCGTACTGTGTTTGACTCCTCCAGAGCTCATCCATCTGCTTCAGCCTCTCTGAGGTGAAAAACCGTCAGTGTTTAATCTGGTTGTGAATGCTTCCCCAGACTAGGAGTTAGTGGTAGAATAATTACACAGCGGGCACACAGCCTCAGAAGCACACGGCTGCCAAGAGCCTTGTGTGACTGTATGTCATTAGTATTGGAAAAGAGCGTTTGCCACAAAGGGCTGCGGTCACTCGGAGCCATTAAAACATGAAAGAACATAGCCCGCTCTTCTGGAGGAGGAATTTGCAAGACATAAACAGCCTGTAAAATGGAAAACTACATCTGTGTTCATTTGTTTTCCTGAAAAGTGGCCAGTTTTGGTAATTCTTGCTGAGATTCTTTCCAATAACACTGAGCAGTCCAAATAAAGGGGAAGGCCCATTTGAGCCATCTGTTTTCAGTATGGTGGAGCAGCGGTTTTTGTGCAAAGATTTAAGAAATTGAATAGGCCTCGGAGCATGTTAGAGCCTTTGCTCTGTTTACACCCTGGGTTTGCAGGACGCGTGATGAGACTTCCTGTCAGTAAAAACATGACCCACGCCAGAGCGAGTTAATTTAATCAAGTGCTAGACTTGAGCAGACTATAAATGCTCATTTATGTGTCTCTTTCCACCGCACTGTAGGGCAACTGACTCAGTCGGCTGCACACATCCTGTAGGAGCTGCAGGAAACAGTCAGAAGTCGCAGCGGTGCTGAGGTCAGGCCTGGTTTGGTGTCTAATCTACTGTCAGAGACTTTTGCTGAGATGAAGAGCACAGTTGGACTGAAAGTTATAAAAGAGCGGCTGTACTCGTGACTAGTTTATTTTTTTCTTTATTCTTCTCACATATGGAAAATATAATATATATACATATATATGTATGTATATATATTGGTGTACATATATATACATATATATGTATGTATATTGTTGTATATATTGTGTATATTGTGTGCAGTTGTGTGCTGTGTCACAATGACAAGTAGTTCAATTTCCTTTCCTTCCTATATATATAAAACATATATATATATATATATAAATTATATTTTCTTTTTAAGTTTAGTTAAATATATCCCATCCAATTTGGACTATGTTTAGTGGCCAGCTGTGATATCGCTCTAAATTACACACAGCTTTTCCTCATTGTTCAAGTTCAAGTCATCTGTGTTTATCCATTTGACTGGTTCAGTTAAGGACTCCACATGGCTTCAGTGTGAAAACACTATTCAAATAAAATTAAATAATAATAATGAATTCATAAAAAAAAACTCTTAATATGTAACTGAGTCTAAAAGAAAACAAATACAATCTGTTCCCCTAACACTTCTTTGATTAAAGCATTTTCAGGTTTAGCCTGCAGGGGGCAGACTTGGTCGACCAACGCTATGGTGAGCTCGCAGCAGCAGGAGAAACTAAACTCAGGTACCAATTCATTAGGGACAATTCATTGAATTACTTCGTCGTGAAGTCATAAATTATCTTTGTTTTTTTTATATTATTTTATGTTATGGATGTGAAAAAATATAAGATTGGAGCAGTAATAATGATGACAACAATAACAACAACAACAACAGAAATAATGGCGTCTTTATAATTCCTAGTAGTACTGTACTGTTGTAGTGTAGATAGATGTGTGGTCCGGTGCCTCAGTGTCAGTTTCCTCTCAGCTGTCCATGTCTTTCCTTCACTGTTGTACTGATATAATGCTGATATGTCTCCAACAGTCCTGGATCTTGACAGGTACATCTCCTCCCACTGACTTGTTGGTCAGTTCTGTTTTGAGTGATTCCTCCTGACCTCAGCGAACCGCAGCTTTGCCCTCAGTGTTCAAACTATCCATGTAGTTTGTTGACAGCAGCTCCCATCTGGGGCTGCCGGGGCTCGGCCTGATGCTGACCTCCTGCCACTCAGCCGGAGGAGGGAAGGCCGAGAGCGAAGACGAGGGTCGTAATGAGAAGGAGGCAGGGAGAGGACACAGTCTTGACAGCTTCTTTTCCCTCATCTGACACACCAACGCACCACTGTGTCACTCGGCGAAGAACATCATTTATCCCATCACAGCTTCAGGTAAAGTACTTTTCCATACATTATAATTAGGTTTTCATGTGTGGATGACACAAATGTTTTGATGGTGGTTCTTTATTTTGCACAATTATCCTGCGGCGTATGGATTGGCTTTGGGTCTGATGTACGTTGTGGACTGCCAGAAAAGCGTAGTGGTGTGTTATTATAATTTCAGCAGAAAATGATAGGTTCTCTCTCTCTCAACTCACGCCTCATAAATAGTCAAGCTGTGATCAGCGAGGAGCTCATGATGAAGCTAAATTAGCCTCGAATGTTGTGCTGTAGATCAAACAGAAATGGCAGTGATTCAATTAATGATTAATTTGCCATCTGCTGGAGGTGGCGTTTTGAATATCAAAACGTCTCCCGTCGGATGTTTAATCACCTGATACCATTGTGTTGGAACACAGACACGGAGTTGTTGGGAAGCGCCGCGGTGTCAGCGAGCTCAAATGTTTTGATCCACCTCCACGATGCTCATGAGATATTAACCGCTCCAGTAGAGAGACATGTCTACAGTACAGCGCCCCCCACTGAGCAGATGCATGCAGAAATCTGCTCCGTTTCTGACGCCGCTGTGCGGATCCCACCCAAGGCAACGCTGCCTTCATGCTGCGGCATGGAGGATATTATGGATATGGCCTTGACAAGCCTCCTTTACCCCGAGGCCTGTCGAGGGACAGGAAACAGTTGGCTCTCGGTCGACTGAAGTGGTGCCTGGGACTTTCCCACACGCCTCCTGGTCTGTGGCTGGAGCGTGTGTCTGCACCACTTCACACCAGGGAGGGAGAGGGAGGCAGAAAGGGAGGATGTGCAGGCTTACTGTAGAAGTTGGAGAGAACTTCTCTGAGGGGATTCACTCCTCCCTCCCTCCCTCCCTCCCTCCCCTCCTAAGCTGAGAGAACAGCATAAATTATTTGCACTGGCAGATGTTCACAGCTCCAAATATGCATGAATTTGTAGAGCTGGCAGGCGTCCCTCAGCCCAACGTACTGCCTTTCACGATGCATGCAGGAGCAGTTGTTATTCTGGCTGTTTTACAGAGAGCATTAATCTGAGCTGTCAGCGCCACCAAGCACTTTGGTGGAAATTATTTCACTTCTTAATAAGGGAACTCTGGTACTGTATTACACGCGGTGGTCAGGGCAACATTCTTGGTAGGGCTGTCATCGTGTAGCCGTTTTCCAACAGCGGTCCTTCTGTGCCGGGCCTGCGTCGTAGTCTGGAACCCAGAGATGAAAAGAATACAATAAGTAGACATTAAATGAAACCACTACTTTTCACATCCCTTCTGCTGCTGAAGGTTAAGGGCTCCTCCTGCCAGGAAGTGGGAGAAACCTAATATCATATTGACTCGTCTCTGAATTTCTGCTCTGTTGTTTGAGCGAAGCTGGGAAAGTTATTTTGACAAAGGGCTGTTTGTCTTTGCCTGCGTGTCAGATGTGCTACTGTTACAGGTCAGATTTGATCGCATCGTTCCTCCTGAGTCAGAACAGGCACAGAGGAAAAGCAGTATATTAGTCATTCCTACGACAGCATTTATCCACAACAAATCACGTTTGAGTATCGGCAACATCTGTTGTTCAGTGTCGTAGTTATAGGATCGTTTCAACATTTCGTTTTCACCTCCACAGTAGTGTTTTTTTTTTTTTAAATAAGAAAGCCACTTTAATAAAACACCTGAGGACGTGTCTTGACGCTGAATACGCTGCTGTCTCTCCTCAGTTTAACCACACACTGGATGGATGAGGTGTTCACGCTTCACAGCGTCACTTTTATGTTGAGTCTTATTAAACCAACGCCGCGTGTGGGTTTGTTTGTTTATCTTAACGTACTGT